GTGCATTTCAGTGTATTTTACAGCAACATATTCTGACATTAGCAATGGCCCGGCAGGGCATGGAAGAGAGCCTCTCATTTTAAAGTCCTGTTTCAGTAAGATTGGGAGCAGTTTCCCTAACTTACTGTTCTTAATGAGAATATGCCTTTACCTAAGTAGGCAGCAGATAAGCTCTTACAATGTGGCCTAGATAATGTCCCTTTGCTTTGTAATAGTTTTAAACACGTTCTCTTGTCCCTGATTTTCTCCCAAAATTAAATGTCACCATATGTGCCAAGTTTCCGGTGGAACATTCTTTCCCTTTTCTGCTCTGCCTCCGTGTCTGCACCATCCTTTGGTCAGAGGAACTGAATGTCTTTGTGTCTCCAAGTGGCTGGTGTGGCTGATCCAGGCGCCAAGGGCCAGGGCAGGCAGGTGGAGGAAAGGACTGCAGAGTTCCTCTGCACAGAATGAGAATGAGGCTGGAATAGTTGGATCATTATTGTCTTTTAAAAGTGCTCCAGTGGGCTGGGCATACAGCACAGTGGTAGAGAGCTTGCCTAGGATGTATGGGGTCTTGCTTTCAATCTCCAGTGCCGCAAAAACTAAAACAGAGTTTTAAAATGCTTCCAAAAACCATGGAATTTTTTCATCATTATTTTGCTCACCACTGTGGGCCTTTATGACAAACTAACTCATTTCACACTAGGAGTCCAGGGGTTAAATCTTAGCCCTCAGCACAAGAGGCAGCTGGGGGCTCATTCCAGGCAAAGGTTTGGGCTGCAGCTGTGAACAGCTCTTCATCCCTTTGGCCCTGATGAGCCCTCAAGACAGCTCCGCTGTGAGGGATTTGCTACAAGGTTATTTAAGAGCAGAGGGAAGAGTGTGAAGCAAGATAGGAAAAAATGCCAATAAAGAGTGCATTAACACAAAGGCTTTGCTTTCAGCAGCTGGGACACAGTCCTACTGGGAACGCTGTGAGAAGCTCATAAACCGTCTCAGGCCCACTGCAGGCCATGAAGCTGGAGCATGCGCTCACCTCCCTTGGCCCTTCCTGGTTGAGAATCATTCCTACAGTGTCACTTTTGGTTTCTGGCCTGTGGCCACATAATGCTAGAAGGATGCAGGCCATGCCCACCTCAAAAGACAACTGTATACAGTGACCTCCATGTGGACTGCTGAATACGGAAGGGGAGGCATTCTCAGCACTTCTGAAGATAACCCAAGAAACTGCATCTGTTTGCAGTTGTGCTTCTGTACGGCTGTTTGCAAGGCATTTACCTTTGCAGTTCTGGCAAGTCACCATTCTTAGGGTGAAGCAAGTGATTTATTTGGAGAACTTATCCCAGGAACTGAAATGGTAATATCTACAGAGATTGTGTACATAAAACCTGAGGGCTTGGCTTTGGGAAATAGAGGTATCATCCCACTTCTGCATTGTCTTAGACCCTTGCTCCCTGTCTGTAATGGAGATACATCCCTTATCACTCCAAGATATGAGTGCTGCAGCCCAGATTCTGCTTTTTTAAAAAATAAGCTAGGGAGAGTGGTGCACATCTGTAGTCTCAGTCAATAGGAGGCTGAGGCAGGAGGATTGCAAGCTTGAGCCCAGCATGTGCAGCTTAGACTCTATATCAAAATAAAAATCACATGAAAGGTCTGGGGAATGTAACTTAGTGATACAGCGCTTGCCTAGCATGGTAAAGCCTTACATTCAATCCCCAGTAATGCAAAACAAACAAAATCAAATTTAAACTTGATATGATTAGTTGTTCTTTCTTAGATTAGATCTAGATTATGCCTAGAAAAACTGGTAAAAAAATGAAGACAGACCTAGGTGCAGTGGAGCATGCTTGTAACGCACCCAACACAGCACTTGGGAGGCTGAGGCAGGATTGCTGTGAGTTTGAGGCCAGCCTGGGCTTCAAAGTGAGTTGAAGGCCAGTCTGAACTACATAATGAGACCCTGTCTCAAAAAGACCAAAAAAAAAAAAAAAAAGATTGTTAGTGGACTTCATAATCTTTTGGTTTAATGTTAAAATTAAAACTTATTTTCTGAGTTAAAAATAGTCACAGGGATAAGCAAGTGTTACTATGTACTGTGTAGATATTCATGAATACCTACACAGGTGTATCTGTGTTCATGTCAAGATCAACTCATGTCAAGATTCTGCACATGCATGTATGTTTAGGGATTGTTCTTAAAAGATTTTGGATTGAGCTCTCCCAACCAGTGTAAACATTTCCCTGAGTCATTTCTCTTCATTTGTCAGTGACTGAGCTGCTGAGACATCACACACACACACAATAGACATTGTGTGTGTTTGTGTGTGTGTGTGTACGGCCTAGGTCAAACTGATGTCTGGACTGACTGATCGTTTTTACTCCCAGCTTCACATACCTGGCTACTCATTCTTGTCATTTGAGAGTCTAAGTCTTCTGGCATAGGAGCCTCCTGTCTGAACCTACTGAACAGGATGTCAGTTTGCTTTGTCAAAATTAGCTCTAAGACCCAGGGTACAGATGCGTATGTTCTGCAGATGACAAGTCAGGCAGACCTGGCCGGCGGTTGTTTACCAGGTTTACAGACAAGCTTTGTCTAAGGGCCGAGAGCAGCACACAGAAGTGTCTCCCTGAATCACACGGGAGGTTAGTCGGGCGTGGTGGGAGTACTTACCACCAAGCATCAGCATGCAGTACAACATGGCAGAGCAGTGCCACAGGCCTGTAAACCAACCCCACCCCACCCCCACCATTAACTACTTACCAGGCATCACTGGAGCGGACCTTCTAGAAGCCACATAAAGAAAGCAGGACCCTTTTGCTACAGTGGCTCTGATCCCCAGAATGCAGCCACTGATGCTTCACTTTTGTCTCAGGTGCGCTCACGCCAGTGCTTTAATTAGACCATGTTGCAGGCGGTCTGGGACTCCCTGCATGCTTCCTTCCTAGCAGAGGCCCATCCCTGAACAGTCTTGGTCTTGTCAGAAGCTGTACTGGCTTCCCAGCCTATGGCACACAGTGTGGAGGTCCTACTTGCAGACATCAAATTTTGCCTGCCTCTGTCTTTTCATGGTCTTCTCATTTCTAAAGATGCTTGAGTTGGGCGTGGTGATTCACGCCACAATTCTAGCACTCAGGAGGCTGAGGAAGGAGATCGCTTTAAGTTCCAGGCCGGCATAGTGAGTTCAAGGCCAGCCTGAATTACATGGTGAGATCCTGTCCCAAAAACCATAAAAAAATGTTTGAAACATCTGCTATACACGTGTACTGGCCGACTGGAGAACAGACTGGAAGTCCCAAGGGCCCTTTAAACAGTCTATCTCCTCCACAAAGCCCAGGCCTAGGGCTACAGAGGGCAAGCAACCAGGGAGCCCTGCCATCCTCCTCTATGAACAGGGTTCAGTGTAATTTCCTTCTTTTTTTTTTTTTTTTGGTTTTTCTCCGGTACCGGGAACCGAACTCACGACCTTGCGCATAATTTCCTTCTTGATCAAAGAAAGTGATTTGTTTTATCCTCAGGCTTATGGAACAAAAATATTTTGGCCTTTGCATTGTTAAGGAAAACAGGAGAATCCAAAGGGAAAAATCAGTTCAGTACTTCCTTAGACACCATGGATTTTAGAGACCTACACTGTTTAACTGTGGCCTTGTTTTGCATGGATCTATAAGGCTCTGGTACAATGTGTGTGCTGAGTTCCTTGTGAGGGCTGGAGCAACTAGCCAAGGTCACGGTAATGCATGGGTAATTTAAAATAACACAAAGCAGCCCCAAATGCACCCTTTCACTCTCCAAACCTGATCAAATCTCAGCGAGGGCTTGAAATATGGACAAACTGAGTACAGGAACAACTCAAAATCAGACAACAGAAAAACAAGAAAATTGCCAATTCATCATCAGAAATGGCTTTGTTCTTTAGCATCAATTTTCACCCTGGTCTTCCAGCCCAGGTTAACTAGTTCCTCAAAAGGCAGCCCCAAAGATACTACCCTACGAGGACAATGGAAAAAGGCAGAAAGAGGAAGAATCGGGCTGAGCAGCTCGCCAGCCAACCATTTTACTACTCCCAGAAAGACAGGCTAGAAAAAACTTATGAACAGGCTTGGGCTTGCTCTGTGGGTCAAAGGTCAAGTCCAAGTCTCAGTGTGGAATAGTATTTGGAGACTTTTCTCGCCCTCGGCCGAGGGTCCTTAAGATGATACTACAGATAGACCTTGGGCATCCAGGGCTGGAGCCCAGGTCAGAGCCACAGGGAGTGGCACGCTGGTGTGTGGTTCAGCACCCCAGTTCAGAAGACAGGCTATGCGATCTGGCCATGCCAAGAATGTCCTAAATGACCACTCTTATTCACACTGCCCCTTATGCAAGAGGAACACCATTCTCAGAACCAAAGGCTTAAAAAACTCCCTCCTCTAACATAGCTGCACAGAAGAGTACTTGAAAAAATACCTTCCTAGGCAAGGGCTGCGTTGGCAGTTGGCAAGACTTGATCATAAGTAGCAGGAGTAGGTTTTGCTTTTGCTATGGTTTTTTGTCCCCATGTACTTACCTATTTTCTAGAAAAACACGTGCCATCTTCACAGACACCTATGCCAGGCCCTAGTCCCACATTAGCAAGCTGAGTAGAACTATGGGGCTGGCTTCTTTCTACTAATCAGAAGATGGTCTCAAGCTGCACAGAGGTGGCTCTTTGTGAGTCTTTCCCAACCAGCTACAGTACTTAAAGTTGAATATTATCTCAATTAGGGCAGTTTTTTCTTAAAAGACGAAATTTGATAAATACTACCTATATACTTTCACAACAAGCGTCTGATATTCCTGAATATACGGAGATGGGAAAAGGTGTATGTGTGCATGTGCATGCATAGAAATCACCAAAGCCGCCTACTTTGGAAAATGCACATGCACTACAAAGTGTCTGAGGAAGAAAAGATTCCCTGCAATCAAACATATTCTGAGTGGGGCTTAGGCAACTTCAAGGGAAACAAAACTCAAGAATAAAGAATACTATAGTACAAAATTATGGCCAAAAATACTGTATTTTTAACCAGCAAGATCATTGGGGCATTATTATACAACATTAGGTGTTTTTTTGCAAAACTAGTTCCCATCCCCAAACAATAGACAATACATGCATCCGAATGACATTTTAAGAACAGTAAATATGATTCATTTAAATACTGCAAGTTAAAAATGTTTTCTGACAAAACTCCCTAAGTACATAGGCCTAGTCAGGGTTTCCAACACGATGATGGTGAGGACTCTGCAGGAAGTTGTATTTAGAGAGTTCTTTGAGGAAAAGAAATCCACCAAAAACATGTTTCAATCAATGTAACCCAGTCAAAGTTACACAGTAATTTTCCATCTTTTTTCTAATCTTAAATATATTCTACTAAAAAACACTTTCTTCCCTGTTATTTTTCCCTGTCTACCAAAAGCTTCTAAGAAAGTCAAAATTCCTTTATCCAAGTAAGGTCCAAATTTACCCAATAGCTATTTTCAAAACATGTAAATATCACTAATTGTTGGGTTGGAATCATATGGGGAAATGGAGGCCATATGGTAGATAAGGAAGGCAAGGAAGAAATGAGTATCTGAGCACCTACTGTGTACTAGGTGTGTATGCATACTTTGAACATGGTTCTAGAGGCAAGAGTTACTGAAAGGGCAGGGGCAGTTGGAAGGAGAGCAGGAAATGGTTTGTTTTCTTAAGAAAACAAATGACAAGTTTAGACTCTGTACTAAAGTATCTACCAACCAGCAGGTGTCTGGCTCCAAAAATCTCTAGCTAGTCATATACAACTAAGCCATTTCTTTTCCTAATGTGATAGAACCAAAATGAAAACCCAAAGACACGGGTACCAGGACAGATCTATTAATGCTACATACGCTGGAAATGTGTAGAGAGAGATAAACATACAATTACTAGTTTCAATTTTTTGTGTGTTTCTAACCAAAGATTATCTCTTTGGAAGAAAATATGAATGTATGTACCAAGCTTACCTTATTTGTATCAACTGAGATGTTGCTAATGACCAATTAAGTGGTTTTAAACCCTTAGTTTTTAAGAAGCGCAGCAGTATACATTACAATATTTGGGTACACTTTATTTTCATATGGGTTAACATTCTGCTATATTTCATTTCATTCATTCTTTTTTGAGAAACTGAAAACAAAGGGAAATTGAGAGTAATCTGCAGGTAATCTGAGGGGAATTTCCAACCAATATATAAGTCTTGCAATAGCTCAGTATGCAGCCCTTTCTTCCCATTATTATTCTTTACTTTTTTTGCAAATAAAGTCATTTTGACCCAAATCCAGCATAAATAGCTTTTTACCAATTCCTACCTTAAGACAACTAAAATTTACAATCATGTGGCAGTATAAATTTTTAAATTACAGTTCATACACCTTGACAATCAAGATAGTCTGAAGTACAAAAAGTAAATTGCCCTTTAGCTGAATTTCCTTTTTACATATTAGGTCTCGCTAGTTAATCTACCAAAAAAAAAAAAGTTTCAGATGTTCTTCAAATACCTTTTGTAAATGTCATCTGTTAGTAAACAACATATGCAGGTTCCTAAATTTTGTTTTCAGTCAACTAATGACATTCAACAGAGCTCTTTATATGTCAATACTAAAAGAGAAAAAAATTATAAAACAAAACCCCAATAAACAAAACCCCACAAGTTCTAGGGGACTTACTGACTTCTGAATGGGCATGCTATTTCCCTTTGTTTCAGATATGAGGCACAAACTTCTAAATTTAAGCTTTGTAAGGCATAGTATAAACCTCCAATTTACAAATAAGGAATTCTCTGTGGGTTGGAACTGCCCCATCACACAAAAAAGAGGGAAAAATCATCTGTAAACTGGTACACTGCAATGTGTTCAGTGAGTCATGAAATGGCTGCTTGCCTTGGTATACTGAAGAAAGGTTGCTGTGTTTTGTGTTTTGAGTAAGACATGCCCAAGTCACCGTAAAACTCGCCACAAGCCTCCATACCTAGAGCATCAACAACAGGAGTCCAGCAGCACACGCTTAGAATGCTTGCAATCACAATAGAAGAGAAAGCATGAGTAAACTTTGTTTTTATACAAAACTGAAAAGAGTCCCTTCCCGCCCCTTCCCCTTCAATAAAACCCCAAAGAAACAACAAAAAATCTTTTAGCTTCGACTGACTAATGTGGATACAATTAGGTTTCTATGCGTCACTGCAGCTAGGGTGATCAATTTTTTCCTTTCTCAAAAGAAGGGATCCTGTCATGCACCCCAGGATGAGCAGTGAAGCCACAAACCTCAATTCTGCATAGCAAATTCCATCCCAACTGCATAAAGACAAATATAACAATCTCTCCCTGTTTTGCTCAGCTTCTATGAGCTTTGAAATCAGGTTTAATCGACTACATCTACTATATCTCTATTAAATAGAATATCTTGATTCCCTAAAACTGTAACACTTATGATCTTGTGATGAGGTTTCTCTATACACACTGTAGGCCATCAAATGTTGTTTACTTTTTTTTTCTTTTCTTTTTTTTTTTTTTTTTTTTTTTTTTTTTTTTTTTTTTTTTTTTTTTTTGCACCAAATTTATAAGATCGCCCTTTCAGGCAAGCAGTGGTCTCTAGCTGTTAAAACATCTCCTTAGTGGATCACAATAGCTTCTAAAACTGCCTTTCTAATAAAGGCCATCAGAGAGGTAATACTAAACTGTGCATTTGCCAAATAAGAATATGAATTGTATAAAAGCTCATATTCCAATCCTAGATCAAATGGCAAAAGTTCTACAAAGTTGGTTTCCATGTTTGTATAAAAGCTCCAACTGATTTTATGTATTTTGCTATGAAATTACCTTTGGGTCTTATAATCAGTATACCTCTACTCAGGAATGTGCAAATGATTTTACACAGCACGATGCTAGTACCGCTCTGTATGATAGTAAGTTTTGTTTTTCTTCTTTTCTAAATGGAAAAAAATATCCCTAGTCAGAAATAAACTGACAAATTTACATTCTCCTCTCTTAAAAAAGTAAATAAAATAACATTATTCAAAATGTGAATTAGCTATAAGACATACAATACAATTACATAGATACATATCAATACAGCACATTCAATTTGCCCCAAAATTAATGATTACAAAGCCAATATGGATGCTGCAATATCAAGAGAGATGTATGTACAATGATTAGAGCATTCATAATTGCACTACACCTACAGGCGGGATGTCTGTTAATTAAATTACAGGTGCTGTTCTGAGCAAGGAAAAGAAATAATAACCTGTGTGTTCTGAGACAAGGAGAGTGAAGAACATGAACATTTCATTACTACCGAGTAACTTTGGTACTCATCTAATAAACTGTTAATTTTTTCTCTCCCCTTTGTTACTCCAAAAAAAGTGATTAATACAGAAGTTTAGACTAGTGCCAAATAGTATCGAGACCAGCATCATGGCCTAATTCTAGCTTCCCAGCAGCTTTATAACAATCATGATTTATTTTCTTATATCACATTTTAACTTATGCTGCTTGACAGAAGCTAATCAATACATGTGCTGTATTTTTTGCATTTGCTGAAAAATTGCACATATAGAATTCCAAGCATCTCTCCTAGTAGGTTCAGTTACATAAATACATGTTCAACAGAACACTGAGAGGGTACAACTGAATCAAGTTCACAAATTTTCTTCATGTTCAACTTAGTCACCAGTTCAAGAAGATCCTGAATATGGTAAACTAGTAGTCACTTTTTTTTTTTTTTTTTCAAATTAAAGGTGTTAGGATAATACTATCAACTGATGTTCTTGGCAAACTTACTTGAACTTAACATAAAGAGTAAATAAAACTGGCTTCAAACACAGAGACATAAGCAGATTTCACGATAAACCACAAAGGATACTTTTCTATACTGATGATTTGGACAGTCAACATGGGACATGAACAATAAACAATACGATTTAAGGGCAAAGAAAAGAATGGACCGTGAGAGTCAAATTTACAGTTACCAATCGTTTGGCAATTGTATTTCAGGTTCATCCTCAGCCAGTCACCTTAAAGTTCACAGTCTTACTCTCTTACATTTTAAGATGCTGGCTTTCATTAAGCGCTTTTTAATCTATTTTGTTTGACAAACGGCCAGCTTTGGCAGCACATACCCAAAATAAAAACCATTTTAAAATTGTGGCCCAAACACAAAGGAAAAAAAAGAGCAAAGGAAAAGCTGGAACTAAAAAAAACAGAACAACCTCTAAAAAGAATCTGGATAGCAGCCATTTGGGGAATGTAGTGTTTGTTGGCATATTTTTTGGCATCTGCAATTTAAAGAGAGAGTTAAGGAAAAGAAGGTAAGGAGAGAAAAAAGAAAAAAAAAAAAGAAGCAAGAAATGGAGGAAGGAAAAAGAAGCAAAAAAAGAAGGAAGAAAGGGAAGCAAGAAAGGGAAGAATGGCACATGGATTTCAAAAGAACGGACTCCCACTTTGCATGTTTGCCCAGCCCTCCAATTTCTGAGTGTTTTTCTGGGCAATCAGACTACGGCTAAGGTCAATATCCAGAAGAAATGATGCATAACTGTTCAATGGGCATCCACTGTCACAGTCCAAAGTGAGACAACTATATAGATATAAAATGAAACACTACATTTGTATGGAGCATAATACAGAACCATAGTAGTAATACATATAGTCCTTCAGCAAATACTACAAATTGTTAGGTTAAGCTGATGTTGGATGGCTTAAATCGAATGACAATGTCCTGACTATCATTCGAGAGAAAAACTTGACCAAGAATGGAGTTAGAATAAAGGCTGTTGTAACCTGGGAGAAAAAGTCAAGAAGGAGATTTGGATTAGGAAAAAGAGGGAAATCAGCTTTGTTTTTCTCAGTAGAAAAGGAAAGAGAGGAGAGGGGGAGGGGGGGAGAGAGAGAGAGAGAGAGAGAGAGGGAGGAGAGACTTACTTTGTGAGTACATGACTGAGAATGTAAAATAGATCGAGTCATAAGGTTTTGCCTAAAAAAAGAGAGAGAGGAAATGTGTTGGGACTGTACTTCAGCATCCTCTGTTTTTCCTCTGAATAGTTTAAATAAAATCATAATATTTACTACAAACTCTGTGGATACACTCACAGAGTCCAGGACGGCAATAAATAGTATTATGCAAATTGTTTTCCACAGAAATACAGTCCCTCTTGTACATCTCCAACAGCCCACCGGGGAAGGGGAGGGCAGCTTCTGGGAGGCACAATTAGACCAGGTTGTACTCCTTCAGGTTCAACTGCAGAATGGTGTCCTTGACGGCTGCAAAGACAAAGCGGATGTTCTCGGTGTCGGTGGCGCACGTGAAGTGGGAGTAGATAATTTTGTCACTGTCTGGGTTCAGGTCCACGAACATCTTCAAGATGAATTCTCGAGCTGCCTGAGCGTCTCGCTGGGGTCCTATTTGCAAAGGGAAAAGAAGGAGCTTGTCAGCTCATCCATTAATACATCTGTTCATCACTCATTCAGTAAGTATTTATTATGTCATTGCTCGTGAAGGGTAATCTTCCCTGCAGATATGATCATGTTTCCTAATACCACTGTTTGTAATCTTTTGGTAACTTTAATTTTACAGTCAGTTCATCCATCCACCCACCAATAAAATACTGGTTAAGTGAAAAACAGAGAGACGACTTGAAGGCCAGATTGTTTTTTCCTTTATTCGAATTCCTTGGCTGACAGAGAGGACTGCAAGGTGTTCAGTAAGGGAATGATAGCATACTTCGGTTCCATTGAAGGAGGTGCTCCGGCTCTATAAAAAGTATGCACACACATACAGCTGCCTCAGGCCTTCTTATCAATCTGGCCCCTGTTATGGATCACTTTTACATTCTGCAGATTAAAATCTCATAATGAGCATCTGGACTTTCAGGTGAGGTCCATCTACAATAGTCTTCTGCAGTCTCATTTTGTTGACTTCTCGTGTTTCTGAGCATTCTACATTTATAAAACATTCAATTCACCATGCATGATTATGAAAAAAACTTGGTTTGCATTTTCTCACATTGATTTGTGTCTCTTATGTACCAAGCATTGTCCTAGATACTTTAGTATAAAGACTGTGATATATTTATCAGAATAAATTAGAAGCAGAGTAATTTTGTAGTGAACTCTTAGATAGGAGACCAAAGCAGAATCAGCAGAAGCAAAGCATCAATAAATTGGACTTTAGCAAAACTGAAAACTTCTGTGCATCAAATAACAGTTAAGCAAACAAACAGACAACCTGCAGAGTAGGGGAAAATATTTGCAAATTCCACATGAAAGAAGGATTTAGCATCTAGAATATAAAGAACTCCTATAACAAAAAGGCAGACAACTTGAAAAAGTGAGCAACAGAGATGAGGATATAGGTCAGCAGTAGACAGCAGAACACTTGCCTCGCATGACCAAGGCCCTGGCTTTGAGCTTCAGTTCAACCAATGAATGAATGAATGAATGAATGAGTGAACAAGCAAGCAAGCAAGCAGAAAAGATCTGAATGACATTCCTTCAAAAAGAAGACATACAAATGACCAATATGCATATGAAAAAATGCTTGACTCTGTTACTCATTTAGGGAAATGCCAACTAAACTCATAAGAAGACACACCTTCTCACCAACTAGAATGGCTGTAAGGTTTTTTTCCCAATAAGCACGTACATTTATTTTAAATCACCTTGGTACACAGTACAGATTGAAGTTTTTAACGAACTGAAACAGAAATTTCTAAATACAGTAGTGTCTGCCTATGCATTAAGTACCTGTAAGGTAAAATAAGGTATCTGACAGAACTACATCAGCATGAACAAATCGGATGAAAATTCTGAAAAGGTTTCTGTATATCTTCTGGATTAAGAAAACCCAAAACTACTGGCTCAAGATACTACATTGCTAAAAGGAAAGGAGAAAAAAGAGGGTGTGAATCTGTTGCAAGAGCTCACCTGCAGGCCTGCAAATCTAACTTCAGATGGTTTTGTTAGAGAAGTGCCCACAATTACAGGAGCTTCCAATCATTTCCACAAAATTTCCTACATGTGCTGACATTAATGTGCAGCAATAAATGCTTATCCAGGTAGGTGACAATTACACCACTGCAGCTCACTTTTGCCAACTTGTGAGGATGGAAATTCTGTGTATTTTCAAATGAATCTTACAGCACTCACTAAATACTAACTGGCTGTAAGTTTTAAAAAGTAGTAATTAACTACTGGCAAGGACAGGAAGAAGTCTGTACCCTCATGCACTGGTGGTAAGCACATACAATGGTGCAGCCATTGTAGAAAACAGTTTGCAGAAAACTTTTCCTTAAAAAGCTAAATAAAAAATTCCCATGTGCCTCAGCAATTCTACTCCTAGGTCTGCAGCCAAAGGATGTGAGAGAAGGGGCTCCCACTGACCCGTGTTCCTGCAGCATTAGTCACAACAGCCAGTAAGTCGACACACCCCAAGTGCCCATTTGCTGGTGAGCAAATGAGCCAAATGTAGTATGGCCTTTGATCAAACAGCCAAAAAGAGCAATGAAATTGTGACAGATGCTACAAGGTGTATGAACCTTGAAAACACATAAATAAAATAAACTAGATGTGAAGAAATACTGTATAGTACCTCTTAAAACAGGTACCTAGGCAGATTCACAGAGAAAGTGTAGTAGTAGTAACCGGGGAACAAGAGGAAAATGGGGTATCTATTTGCTTAACTGGGGTGGTAAAAAATATTTTGGAAATACTGTGATGGCTGCACCTTATTGTAAATGTTAATTAATGCCATGGAGTTGTAATTAAAAAGGTTATGATGCAATATTTGGGATACATATAACTCTCAGAACTCTATGGAGAACCAGGCCACCACTTCTAACTAAATGCTTTCTGATTATCAGACAGTCAACTTGAAAACTTTTAAACTGATCTTAGTGCTAACTGGGATCATTCTTATGAGCTTATATCTAGTGTCAGAAGTTAGGAGGAAAGAGTTATGAAAACAAATATATTAATAAAAGTATTGTTCCAATTTTTGACTTAGGTGCCCATAACTGAGATTTCTGACAGCAACTGAGAAGGCTGGCATCATATGAAATAAAAGCACACTAATTAAAAAAACAAAGGTTATATAATTATTAAAATTTTTTTAATGAGAAAGAGACCAAGAGATGGAGGGCAGGGGAGGTGGTAGGGAACATAAAAAGAATTAAGATGTGTTACGTATATGTCCCAGCTCCCCATGATGAATGTGATCACTATACACTGCAAACCTATGCTAATAAAAATTTAAAAATATCTAAATATTGAATGTCCTATATTTTTCAATTACTATGGTTAACTTCCTAGTTCCATAGTAGTGCTAAAAATATTTAAAACTAGAGACTAATCGATTGTTAGAACAGAAGCATGTTATTTTCATAAAATCCTGTATTATTTCTGGCTTGTGACTGATCTGTATGATTTTGTACTTAAGTCTATTTGGGAAGGAAGGGACCACAGTTTTTTTTCTTTTTTATCTACCCAAAGAATATCAGAACCAGATTCAAGTTCACTGAAGTATACTTGGCGTGTATTGCTCGTAAGCATAAATTACTGTGTAAATAAACAGAAACTACAAAGAAACCATTCTGTCCATCATAGTAGAATAGAATTCCTTAGTCTCTATGAACAATTTTGCAATTCAAGTTCATGTAGAATGGTAATTCCTCTTCTGAACAGAAATACAGAAATGGTATTCAAGGGGCTGGGGATTTAGCTCAGCAGCACAACGCCTGCCTGGCAAGCGTGAGATTGTGAGTTTGATTCCTGGTACCAGAACCGCCCCCATCAAAAAAGAAATGGTATTCATTATGATTATGACCTTGTAAGTGCAGAAATGTGGAAGTGTGAAGTTTATAGTACTATAAACATGCTTACTACAAAAACATCACTACAGAGTGGGCCTAGATGTTTTTAGCCTTAGCTCATCTTATGAGGGCTTTCAAGTCTCATGAAATGACAGCTGCATTTGCTTTGAGAATAACAAAATCAGTGTCTTTTCTTCTTCTGTGGCCACATTTCCTATGGGTATTATGTGTGTACTGTGGGAGGTTAACAGTAAAAACATCTTTGGATATCAGTGTATTCACAACAGGCACATACTGGAAGGGAAATGCTCATAAGTTGATGAGGAATCTGGTGGAATTATGAGACTAAGATTTTTAAAGAGACGAAGAAAATGTTGCAGAGAGAAACAGTTCTGTAAGCACTCAACAAAGTTTTTTTGTGGGGGGCAGAATAATTACTTGCACTGTGGCATGGCTACAGCTGCTGCAGCTCGAGTCTGGGGGTGTGTTTCAAGCCTTGTAGACACGCAGTATGATCTACCCTTATGCAAGCAGGGCAGGGAAATGAGCTGGCCCTGGGGGCGCTCGGTGGGGACATGGTATGTCATGTTCCATCCATTGATTCTCACCTAAAGCTGAGAACAATTAAGAGTCTGCTTCACATGCATGTTACTCAGGGAGATTTTGTGTTGAAAGAACTAGCATGTTAGGGAGGACAGCAAGGAAACTAAACATTACGTTACTTCTGACCACAGTATGCTTGCATAGGCATTTACACCTTGTCTCCAGGATAGAGGCAAAATAAAAGGTTTTCAAGAGAAAAAACTATTTATAGTCAGATGTTGTTTGCTTTTAAAAGAAAAGCAAAGCACACAAGAAAATGTACTTGGACGGAGAATGTAGATATATTGCTAACAAAAAAGGGGCACCCTTTCTACAACCTGGCAACATCCCCAAATGTATATATTTTAATTCACCAGTTTCCATATCCTTGCATGTATTTGAGATGGGAACTTTAGTGTGTTAAACAAGTAATACTTGCCTTCCGTGTACCAGCACCATGCCAAATACATGTGGGATGAAAGGATGACTAAACCTCCATCCCTGATGTGTTTGTGTCTTTACAGAAAGCTATGAAGCCAAAGTTATTTTTAGTTTATGATTATTTCCCCAGGAGCTTGCAGAAGTGCAAAAACACTGCTGAACCAATACACACCATGGATATCGTCTGTTGGAAAGCAATTTTAAATATAGTCTATTATCTTGCTGCAACACACATCCTGTGGTAAGGACTTCTGCGTTTGGCTCTCACCTGGGCCATATGCTGTGCTAAGTGATTTCCATATGACTCTATTCAGTCACTTTTTACTCCAGAAGAAACAAAGGACATATTTAACAAACTTATCTAAAGCAATATGACAACTGAGAGCCATTACTGTCTGAACTAGGGGTCGGCTAACTTGTGCTATAAAGAGCCAGTGACTGAATATTCTAGGCTTTGCAGATCATTCACTCTCTGTCAGAGTTACCCACTTCTGCTGTGGTAGCATAAAGGCAGCCACAGCAATGGTGTGGCTATATCTCAGAAACCTGTTACTTATAGAAACAGATAGCAGGCCATAGTTTGCCTCTCCTAATCTACACTGAGGCTCTTATAGGGCAATGGCTGTGACTCATTTGTTTTAGGGAGGTTGGATGTGGATGTACTTAATCAACAAGTACTTCTAAGAATAGATGGGTGTCCAGTTGCTGGGAATTTCACAGCCTACTTGAGAAAGGCAAGATCTCCAAGGATAAAGCGAGTAATGCATATAGAAGTAATGCAGTGGGCACGGCAGATTCTAAGTGGCATGTGAGAGCTTGAAGGACAGCTACTATTGCTAAGAATCACGGGACTTCTCTGGGCCATGAAGTACCCCCAAAGTAAATGTTTCCTAAATATTCATTATGTGTCAGGCATTATGTGAAATGTTACATGTATGTTATCTGTTACAGTCTATAAAACAATCCCATGAGTTTGGTCCAAAGGCCCAGAAAAACCAAATGATTTTGATTATAGTTCTACAATAGGAAAAGTTAGAACTAAGGTTTAAACCTGACTTCAGAGATGAGCTCCTGACCACAAAACTGCTTTCTCCCCAGGCAGACGTAGGGGTAGGTTGTAACTAAATGAAAGGGAGGGAAAGAGGAAACTATAATGGCCGATACACAATTGGTCAAAACTACTGGATTACTCCTTCCTCTGATCTGATTATTTCAAAACACATGACGCCTTCTTTTTCTGTAACTTTAAACATTAGGGTATAAAACGTTTTGTGTCATTACAAGACAGAGTGAACAATAACTTGGACTTCAACAGTCACCACACACCGGCTCAGCAGTCACAGGGCACTGCGTGTGACGACTCTGGTGCTGGCAGGCAAAACCATCCTCAGCGGCTGACACTTACCATCATATTCTGGGAAGTAGTCAACTAGGTGGGAATACATAATTTTCTCCTCTAGAAGATCCTTCTTGTTTAAGAACAGAATAACGGAGGAGTTTTGGAACCAGGGATATGTGATAATCGTTCTGAAGAGTGCTTTGCTTTCCTCCATTCGGTTCTGGAAAAAAAAAAGTCAGAAAAAAAGGGAATGAATGATGTGATTATACTCAATTTGTGTTAATTTCAATAAGTGAAACCCATCTTCTGATGCTTTTAATAGCTTTGAGTTGGACCTGTAATAACTTATATGCAAATGATTCACGATACATGTTGGCTGTTTTCATTATGCAAACTCCAGCTGACAAGCACAATAAAATAGTAATAAATATCTGCTGAAATAACTTCTCAGGATGAAAGAGAAAATAAAGCCTAGATAATCATGTGGTATCTAATATAATGTCATAAATGTCTACCAAAAATTTATTTATGACCAAATACTTAAGATCTGAATTAAGAACTAAATATCAGACTTACTTTGCATTTCTAAAAATACATATATTTGGAACCTCACAATTAACTGTTTTCAACATTCAAGGCTAAGTTAATTAATTCTTTGCCCAAAGCACATCTATATTTCTAGCATTATTACTACTAGAAAAAAATACATATGCCTTGATAAACACATGTTCATCAGTGTACATATTCTCTTCAGGTTTCACTACGATGTTCATACAAACTGTGAAGATGCACCTGTTATAACCTGGAGATACAAGACTAATATGTCTTACCTTCAACACTGAAGTGGAAGTGCTCTTTCCTGAGACTATACTTTCAAACCTACTTAGTAACAGAAACCCTAAATGGGTTCTCAAGGAAATGAGTCAGTTTGGTCATATGCATCAAGATGCTAATTGAGGCTACTCCTGAGGAAAAAAATCACTCCTCACAGTTACCACTGACCAAAAGCCAGAGAGCCTCACAGCTTCTTCCTTATCTCTCTACCAGCTGTTTCTCTCAGACCTACTCTCTTCTCAAAATTACCTGCACTCGTGAGCCACAGGTAAAGGCTGTAGACTTGGAGAGTTTCCCCTTTCTCCAAGGATATAAAAGCCATAGTGTACCAGAACACTCTGTCCTGGTCCTTCCTTCCTTCCATGTTATGACTGAGTTTTCCCAGCAATGAAAAAGGCTTCCTGGGATTGAGACCACTTCTGCCTCTAAGGGGTGTCTCGGCAGGTTAAACCAGAACATCAAATGCCCTGCCACATGAGTTGGTTCAGAGGTAGACTGTAACCCAGGCCTCTGTCCTGGTGAGGCTTCCTCCTCTGGTTTATGGCAATTAGTTTAGCCAAGCACTTGCGCTGGCTAGTCAACCCTAGGACTTTTGCTGAGAACTCTGGGGCAGGAAATTTTGCTTTCCTGGAGAGAGCAGGAGAACAATGACAACCTCAGGAGCTTCTTGCAGCACCTTTTCATGGGACAGAATAGAGGCCAGTCCTACTCACCTTGTTCTAACTGCTTGCTCTGGCCCCACCTTTGGATTTTTCAGTATCAACAGTCTGTAAATTCCTTTTATTTTTTAGGCTGTTTTTTTTTTTTTTTTAAGCTAGTTGGTGCTATGTTCTTCTGGTTATTAATATAGAAATTACTTCCAGTTGATATAACTGGGTACATTGTTTTCCAACTTGTAAAAGGAAAGGACTGAAATCCTTGCAGGATGACCACTGAAACTAGGGGCTTAAATTTCTACCTTCTGCTCAGAGTGTTCCTCCTGTAGGATACACTTCAGCTCTCGCAGTGCCCACAAAAGCCTGGTCAGTTCACTCTGTGCATGATCTTCTGTACCTCTAGGAAATTCTCCACCACATACAACTTTCTAAATCCTGAGTATATCTTGCTCTTTTTCATTTTTTAAAGTGTGCTGATTAAATTCAAAATGAAAGGACACACTTTTCAAAAGCAAACCTTTACCAAAATCAGGTAAAGTTGCTCCTCACCAATTTAGTCCACCTTTAGTTTTGTGCCTATAGTTGCTTAATGTTGATGAAATATGTAGGCTGTGAAAAATTACTTCATAGCTCAAGGGACAGAGTTCACACAATTTTACCAACTGACATGTCCAGGCTCTCAACACATTTTTACTATCTATATGCCTTTTATTTGTTATCACAGTCATTGGCAAAATTTTAAACCCTGAAAATGTATTCTCTGAGGAATGATCCCTTGTAGCTTTACTTACTTAGTTACTTACTTACATATATATATAATTTATTTGGAACCAGGAATTGAACTCAGGACCTTGTGTTTGCCAGACAGGCACTGTGCCACTGAGCTTTATCCCTGGACCACTTTACACTTTATTACAGGCTAAAAACTTAAGGGGTACAGAAAAACCCTCTCTTAAGTGGGTTAGATAGTAACATCACTGATGGGAGAGGCAGTATTTCTTTTTTTCTTACTTATTGTTGGAGAAAGTCTAGACAGCCATACTGGAGATGGTCTTCGAAGAAGCCATATCTGCAAGGTAAATATGTACACCTTGCTGTCCATCAGAAAGACATCATTACACTTTGCATTCCCTGATGGGTATAAGGGCTCTTAAGGAAACAAAAGGTCCTCACTGGCCCTATTCTGGCTGGAATCCTCAAGGTGACTCACACGGAGGGTAGAGGGAGGGCAAGGGGTCCTGACTTTGAATCCACATAGAACTTTGTCTTTAATTAAAAGTTTCAAGGCTAGGCTGGAGTCTCTCTGCTGAATACAGTCTACCAGGAGGGAGCACAGACCAGCATGTAGGCTGTAAGTCTCACCTGAGCCCAGAACTGTGTACCAAAGACAACCTGCCTAGAAGCTGCTACTCTGTGTCCAGAGCTGCGGTGGCCAGAGCCACTCTGGCTACAGAGGCTGCTAACTGGGGTGCCTCCCTGAAGCTCTGGCTGGATATGCAGCTTGGGGCTGTTCACAATGTGCTGGGTGGACTGGGGCTTGGAGAGACTGGGGCTTAAACCTTTAGTTCAGTGGGAAGCTAGAGAGTAAACGGCAGCTTCTGGGTAGCAGCATCACTGGGCCTTTGTCCAGCCCCACCAAATGGAGCCTCTGAGGATTTCCTGGCCCAGTAATGCTGATGCCACTGGCCTTTGTGAAGCCACCTGGGATCTCACCAAAACAAGGATTCTTGCAGCACTGAGCAGGCTGACAGTCTGCATTACTATGAGGTTCCCAGGTGTGGCATACACTGACACACTGAGGTGCAAGTTTTAGAGCCTCAGCAAAAAAGAGGATGGTGACACTCTATCCCATTTTTAGAATAAGAACAGCAAGTAGATATGTCCACTGAACAGCAAGCAGATATGTCTCTAAGTCCTCTAGAAATTCTAACCACACCAGCTTTGTTCCTTCTCAATTTTTCGTTTTATGATTCTTACTTTATCTTATGCAATCGGTGTTGTACTCTGCAGTGAAAATCCCTTGTGCTTCCCTTACTCTACCATGAGAAAATATTTAAAAACTCATACTTTCTGTATCAAAGCCCTAGGCTAAATCCGAAAGGGACTAAGTTAGATTTTCACAATGCCTCACAGGGTAGTAGATTGTACAAAGCATGAGGCACAGTCTACTCTGCTCAGAGAAAACTGAAACCTGCGTGAGAACAGGAGACTTGGTAGCACTTGCTTTTTAGTAACTTGCCAAGGCATGAGGTTTTGAGGAGGAAAACAAAAAAGAAACGATGAGACAGGTGTGTGTCAAATGATAAAAACAGAAAAACAAACCTGAAAAACTAGGGATCTTCCTTTCTATAGGGTTTTAAAAGCTGGGAGATAAAGTGGGTCAAAGAGGATAACAGTAAAGGTTTTACTCTCCCACACATACAGGGCTCCTTGGTAACAGGATGGCCTGGCCTGTGCCTGGGCCCAAGGAGGCTTGAACTTTTGTCACTCCACTCACCACTTCTGGGGAACCCAGGGAAAGGAGGCCCTGACACAGGTGAAAAGGGTGGAATGGGAACAAAAGAGATGGGAGGGGCCTGTCAAAGCTGGCCCTGCCTGGTTTCCAACCCCTATGGGAAGGGAAGCCCAAAGTGGCCACAGAGCCTGGGGACTGGCAGTGTGCGAATGACCAAGGGAGCCCAGTGGGTCTCTCTGAGGTCACCTGCCTCAAGTACACATGGCCAAGGGAACGTTTCACTTGCTCCGGCCACATGGTTAGGTAAGCCATTCCTCCCATGGGCTGGAAGCAGCACAGGAGCAGCAGTAAGTTGGGATGCATTAACCCCTATGCCCAGGCCTGGGGAGGAGGTACTCTCTGCTGCCTGTTTGTAGCTGCAAGCAGGATGGTGTGAACTGTGAATGGCCTTCCTTAACACTTAGTCCTGTTCAAGCCATACATGGAAGTTCTTACACTTTTGATTTTTATCATCTCATATCAGTTCTCAAGAGCCTACTCTCTAAAAACTACTGTATTTTAATACGATCTCCTAACACACGAGTGGCTAACACCATCTACAAGGTGAAGTCCTGCGTTCTAGCCTGGTATTTGCAGGTTGGCATGGCCCGATCCCAGTCTACATCTTTAATCCAAGCTGCTGTACTAATGCTTTCTCCTCCAGATGATGACATTCAATATCATCACTGTCACACAGTGTAACTGTAGTCCACAATGGTATCTCCCCTATCCTAATCCTTCAAGGTCCAGGTTAACTGGACTTCCCCACTTAATCCGAGTTCTCTGAGCCCTGAGGCTTGCCTCTTCCTCCCACCTCCACAGCTGCTGTGCTATTCCCGGTTTGCCCACCAGTCAGTGGCACATATGGTGCATTTGCTGGCTGCTGGCTGAGCACAAGTGAGTGAGCAGCACAGTTCCACAACTGAAGAGAAAAAGGCACGTTGGTGCATAACTGCAGATCCACACGGTGGGCTGGCAGTTAATGAAGAAAACAGGAGTGTGGGGTCCACTGGAAAGAAAGGTTAATTTTTTGGTGGGTTAAGTAAGGTAGAAAAGAAAAGGCAGTTTTGGGTTGAATCATGATGGATGAGTGAGAGACTATGAGGGGAAAAAAAAGCAAAAGCAAGGTAAGGGAAAATTTAAATCCACAACCTTTGAAAGAATTTGAAAATTCTACATGACATGATTTACAAAGGCTTCTGATCTCTGGAGCTTGTACATTAAATAAGAAAATTC